CGTGCTTCCGCGGCCCCGCCGGGGGATGATGCGTCGGCAAAGGGCAGCCAGCAGCAGGACTTCTTATTCCCGTGTGCTGTTGTAGTACCGCTTTATTCTGCGGTCTGAAAGAGAACCCAGCTGACGCCAGCTGAAAGGGCTCTGGAGAAACAGAAGTGGGCTGTCACAAGTTAGAAAGCCTTTGAGTACAGCTGCTGCCAGCTCCTTGCAAATTATGTTTTTATCAAGTAGCAGGTTTTGACTATCCAGTGTTAAAAAAGACCCAGCAAGCAGAAGACCCAGTTAGCACGAAATGAGTAATACACAATGTCAGAAAGAAAAATGAAAGCAAACGTGAATATCAGGTGCTGCCATAGTGCAGAAACAGCTTACTTGGAGCCTGGGGTGGAAGAAAAAGGCAAGGACACTTCTGGCCAGGGCAGATAAAAGGGCATTGACTATATATTTAATTTGTGTTCCTTGCTTGATTTCTCCTTTCGTTATCTGCACACCTTGAGCTCAAGCAGACCAGTGCTTCACTTCTGACCGGCAGGCAGCCACCCAAAAACCAGCTTAATGAAAATTCTGCATCTCTGCACTATTCCCACTGTATGCTGCTGACGAAGGGCTTGTATGGCATTAGGGGCTTCCTGAAACAAAGTATGAGCAATACTTCTGCAATATTCTTGTTTTCATTTGGTTAGGCAGCCTGAAGTACCTGGAAAATGTTTTCTACTAACATTGCATCCTTCTAATACTGGAGTATATTTGGGATATAGTAACATCTCCATATGGTATATATAAAGAAATGTGAGCCCACATATAATGCTTTGGTCTCTGTCTGTAAATACGAACTTTTGGTCAAGCACATAAAAACCCAAATGCTTTTTCCATTTGCTGTATTCCTGTTACAGAATATGTTCATTTAGCTTATAAAACTTACAAACCTAGTCTATGTGTATTGACACCCATTATTACAATATTACAGCTTACATGCAAATGAATAGACATCATTTCTAGGAAATTTAAAGTAGCTGAAATACTATATTGAAGTTACCTGTTTTTATTTTAGACATTCCCATTATTCCTACTCTCACATTAGACTTTTTAGGAAAACACTTTAAAATGCTAGGAAAATGGAAAGATCTGGCCATATTTTCAGATCATGCACTATTAACAACATTCTGATGAAGTTCTTTCTAATGTATCTGCATAACATTTTATATTTTTTTATATTAGAATAAGTGAAGATAAAAACTTCATAATGCCACCTACTGCTGAAAATACACATTTTAAAGACCTTGCTAGTTTGGATTCCTTCAAACAAAAGGACAGTGGAAGAAAGTATCTGTTGGAATAAGACCTTTCAAACCTCTGAAGTATGGTGAAGACAAGTCTTGACTTGCCAAGTGCACTTAAGTCACACTGAGTTCTTTAACTTTGAGCCAGTGGCTACTTTGACTGAAGCTCTAATGAGGAGTGAATGAGGAGCTGGGATTTTGACTAGGAGTTTTTTCGCTGTTACATTTTTAATGAGAACTTTCACTTTAAAACTAGTCCCTGTGACATCACTAGAAAAACACTGATGAAAGGATTCAGTGAAGCAAAATGTATTTTTCACTCCGTGATGAGACATCCTCTGTTTCACACAGAACTCTGCATGAGATGTAAGCCAAGGACCAATAGAATCCGCCTCACATGTGGCACATCCCTTCTTACATCGCACCGTCATAAGATGGGCCATGGAACCCTGCTTGGTTGTTGGCATAAGATGGTATGTTCTCAGCCACAATGGGTGGAATTCATCTCTCTCACCCTTACCATCTGAAAGTTAGATGAGGCTAACTTACAGTCAAAAGTACAGTAGCTGGTTCTTTCTTCACTTCTTGGAGAAGACCATCTCCACTATTAGTAAAATAGTTGCTATATGGCTGCAGCCTTTTCCACATCGCAGACATTAAGTATTGGTTGTGATCTTATTCCCAGGAACCATGGAAATACAAGAAATGGTAGGGTTTTGTACATGAGTGTGAACATGTAGAATATAGACCCTTATTATTCCTGAGGAAAGTTCAACTTTAAATTTGTCTCTGAGGAATTAGGAATGGTTTATCTACTGCTGGTACTTGTCTCATCCTGTAGAATAAACTGACACTGAAATGCTTTAAGTGCGTGATTGTCAGAGTTTCGGTCTTGTTATGGCTTGATGACTTAACCTTAGAAATTAATTTCCTTTCAAGTTGAAAGGTTCTTGAGAACAATACATCTAAACCACATAAAAGACAAGTTAGCCCCTTTGTGGCAGTATTTTAGAAGCCTTCGGAGGCACTTTGCACACACACATACACGCACACCCGTTTTTACTCAGAGAAGGCCTGCTGTTGTGACAGTATCACTCTACAGTCCTTCATTTTTGCAACAGCAACCAGATCTCAACAGATAGTTGTAATTCTGGGAGCACATTTTACCACTATTGCACATTAAAAATTCACCTTCTATTAAGTTAGCTTCATGAAAACCAAGATAAAGTACATTTCTTAGTTGTTGAACTTGTGTCTTTCATGCTGACCTTTTGGTCAACTAAACATTATTTTAATGTATTTACTGAACTAGGTTTGGCTGGGATAGAGTTAATTTCTTCACATAGCTTGTATGGGGCTGTATTTTGGGTTTGTGATGAAAACAGTGTTAATAACACAGGGATGTTTTACTTATTGCTGCATAGTGCTGGGGCCTTCTCTCTTAGGTTGCCTTACTAGTAAGTAGGCTGGAGGTGCACAAGGAGTTGGGAGGGGACACAGCCAGGACAGCTGACCCCAGCTGACCAAAGGGATATTCCATACCATATGGCTTTGTGCTCAGCGGTAAAAGTTGCACTGCAGGAAAAAGGAGGAAGGGAGGGGGACTTTCAGAGTTAGGCTGTTTATCTTCTTAAGTCACCATTACATGTAATGGAGCCCTGCTTCCCTGGGGATGGCCTGCCAATGGGAAATAGTGCCCAAATTCTTTACTTTGCTTTGCCTTTACTACAAAAGCTTTACTACAGCTTTTGCTTTACGTACTAAGCTGTGTTTATGTCAACCCACAAGTTTTCTCACTTTTACCCTCCTGATTATCTCTCAAATCCCACTGGAGAAAAGTTAGAGTGTGACTGCATGGTGCTTGGTTGCCAGCTGGGTTAAACCACAACAGTCCTTTCTGGTGCTCAGTGTGGGGCTCAAAGGGTTCAAGGTAATGACAGATTTGATTGAAGTTTGCTAGGCTGAATTTATAGCTGATACAGCTGTTTAGCTATTAATTACTAGGCTCCTGTGCTTGCTGTACAACTGCTGCTTGTTAGCGGCTGCTTTTTGGTCTTGCTGTTTGCTGTAGGTCTTATCATCTTACCCAGTGGTGCCTGGGAGCACTTTGATAACAGCAGTGACCACGTGCATGAACTGGCTGATGGCCAGTTGCCAGGGCATCACTGCTGTTCCTGTGCTGCTGTGCTGGACAGCCTGGAGCTCCAGTGTCAATTTGAGTAGAAAGGACTTGAATTGTGGGTAAATCCATGTGGGAGCAGGACATCCCAAACTGTCTGTGGCTGTGGGTAAATCCATGTCAGAGCAGAACCATCTGTTGCTGCAGATACGTCCACACCACAGCAGGTATACCCCTGAAGGGACTGCAGCCCAAGAGTAAGTCCACATGGGAGAAAGTACACCTTGAAGTATCTGTGGCCATGGAAAAGTCCACAGCACAGCAGGTACACACCCCTGAAGGGACTGTGGCCCATGAGTAGGTCCACACTGGATCAAATCCACCCCTAAGGGACTGGGGTCTGTTGGTAAGCTCATGCTGGAGCAGAGGCAAGGAAAGTACACTGTGGTGTCCAAAGGGATCAGAGGCAGAGACTGTGATGGATATAACTTTAAATTGTTGTAATCTATGATTCCAGTTACATATTATGGGATTATTATAGCAGGAACCACTACCAGTGGAGGACCAGTCTTACAAGAGGCAGTGCAAGTACAGCAGTGACCCAGCCTGAGCTGGCCAAGTAACTTCACACAACACACCACCTCTCCTGTCCTGAGCGACCACCGTAACAGACAGAACTCAAGTCATGGACTAATGAACTCATGAGACATTTACAGGGGTGGTCCATCAGCTAATGATATCTGTGTATATATCAAAGGATGGAAAGGGGGAAAGGGGCTACTGAGGATCTATTGGATAGTGTGGGGCCTGAGCATGATGTAAATGGTATGGAATAAGGAGTGAAGAATGTGCTTGTTTTGGCTGGGATAGAGTTCATTTTCTTCATAGTAGCTAGTATGGTGCTTTGGTTTGGATTTATGATGAAAACACTGATGATAAAACACTAATGATTGTGCTTCCTGGTGTGGTACAGGCAATGCCTGCAGCATGACAGAGGAGGAAGGATGAGCACTCTCACTGTTGGCTAGGTAATTATTTTGCTCGTAGATGCACGAGTTACAAGTTATGAGTTAATGTATTGTGAATTATGAATTAGAGAACTTGTGAGTTAGAAACATTGTGACTTCAGTGTTGAATTAGTGAATTCATGTGCTAGACTAGCCTGTACAAAGGGGATTGAACCCGTGTTTCTTGTATTTGTTTTCTTTCCAAATGAGCTCATAAAACAAAGTTTAACTTACAGAGTATATTGACCTGTAAATTTGAGAGATCCAAAAGGACCGTGACACAGAATGAGCAGTCTGTGGCTCTTATCCCTGTTATCTGTCCGCATACTTTAAAATGGCTACTTTCCAGAAGAGTGAACATGCAGTGACTAGGGACATGCCTCTGAAAGGAGTAAGGGAAATCCTTCACGATACTCAAGTTCTTTGTTGGTTGTCACCCCACATTCTTGTTTTCCTTTAAGGGCCTTGCCAAAGACCTCCTGTGCTCACTCCTCTACCCAGGGTAGTTATAATCTGCCTGATCGTTCCCTCTTGTTTCATTCAGTATGGACTATGCACTTCTAGTGTTAATGTGTGTCAGCCTGAATAATTAAAAGCAATGTGCACTGCATCCCAGAAAACTAAGAAGGTTGAAAATATGCTTCTTCCTTCTCAAAGAAAGGTGCGAACTCAAATCACAGTCAGCAGGAAAATGAATAAGCTATTTGGCAATACCATGTACAACAAAATAGCATCATAAAAATGAAATTATTTAAAGTAATATTCAAATCACACAGTCATTGTTGATTTAGTTTCCAATTATACAGAGGTAATTGTATTAACGAAGTGCCTCATTCAGTTTGGTGGGAAAACAATTGAAAGGTTTAATGTCCTGGCATCTGCAGAAAATAAATTCTATGATCTGTGCTCCTAACCCAACTAGAATCCTAATTCTTGTTTTACCCAGGGCATACTACAACGTCAGTATGTCTGCTCAAGGGTATTCTATGACCTTCAGGAGCCAAGACAATTCTGGAGTAATTCTAGAATAAAGTAACTGTTCTAGAATTAAATATTGAAGAAACTTATCCCAGAATTGATGACCCCGTATATATAGTGATTTAAGATCCAACTTAAATTCCATGAATAGAAACATTTGCAACCTGCGTTGCACTGAATATACTGGGAATGGTTTTAAAAGACTTTCTGACTTGAACTGCTGAAGCCAGACTAACTATAAGGAAGCATACTACAAAGAGTCTCATGTGCATCACGTGCTTTGGAGTCAGAAGCCCATGTCTGATATGCTATTGAACTCCCCACCAACCTCAAAGTGCTGGAGTGCATTTATGCCATAGGTGAGCTGACACAGCTCCTGCTTATCTTTCTTTCCCTTTAAATTCTCAAGTGTTCCCAGGAGCTCAGAGAGCCTAGACATTTCTCAAATGCAAACTATAATTGTTCAAGGATTTTGTGTTGCCCCTTCTGCACCCAAAAAAATCCAGAAAATGTGAAAACAAGAATAATAATGAGGTCTCTTTGACTTTCATGATGCAAGACATAACACAAACGTTGGGTAGAGTATCTGTCCTATCAAAGTATTTTAGTATACTAGCTGTATCTATACAAATAGAATCAGTAACCCAAATAGTGTTTAATCCATGATACAGTCATCATCTCTTCTAGGAAATACTTTCCTTATCTTCTAACTCATCTCAGTATGTCATTGCTGTAACAAAAGCATTTGCTAAATAGGGGAAGCTCCAAGTGATTTCCTGTTCTGATTTTCAAAGAGAATGGGAGACACTGGCTGATTTATTGCCACTTTTTTCCTTGTTTCTTTTTTTTTGAGATTTCCCTCGTGATATTCACATGACATGGGAATGCAATATGCTCTTTACTCCTTCAACCTCTTGTCATGTGCCATACTCAGCAAGCAGTCCCTACTTACCATGTTTAAAATCTAAGCAACCTGCTGACTCTGTTCACACTGTTCTGCAAGAGCTGCTTTTGGAGCAGCCGCATGCAGAAGATGCTCTGCTTCGCATCCGCAGGGCTGTTACACAGCAACCTGTTAGCTATCGGCGGCTGCCAGCGCTGAGCCTGTCCTGATACATCTGGTGGGATGCTAATGTCCAAGTGTGCTGAGGGTTGTGAGGATGGGCATAGGTAAGAGGGCAGATGCCAGTGCTGCACAAGAATGCTCATGCAGCCTCACTGCTAGCTAGGCAGCATAGGTAATGCCTTCACCAAGTGGCACAGACTGGCTTCCAGTGTCAACCTGTCCTCTATGCCTCAGTATGAAGGCAACAGAAGTGCAGAAACCCTGGAGTCATGGTGTTTCTGTCGGCATTTTGTATTGTTCTTTTTTTTTTTCTTTCTAGCTTAACTTGCATCTCTTTCTCCTCTCCTAAGTATGTCATTATTTATCTACATGGTGTTGCCACTCCTCATCTGCTGTAGGGAGAGTGTAAGACATAGCCCCCCGTGTCTATGGATGGAGACTGGACTTGAATAGGAAGCAGTATCACGCAGGCAGTGTGATCCTCAGCACTATACTGGACCGTGTGCCTACTTTTTATTTAAATACAGGAAGGTTTGTCTCTGGAAGTGACTTTCCAAGGAAACAAAACCTAAGCTTGATTCTCAGAACATCAATGCAACCCTCGCTTCTATGCACCCTTTTGAGACCTGCTACTAGCGTAATTTGGTGGCTGGTCAGTAGCAGCTAACAAAGAAGTGTTGGGATCTCTGGCAGCCCATGACCTGCTGACCATTTTTTTCTACTCTGTATTTCTAAGTACTCTGTTCCAGAAGAAGTTGTCCATTATGGGTTCCCCTTAATCACTCTTAGAGGTCTGGACAAGTTGAACTTATACATGTTTGTCCAAACAAATCTGGCCTCCAGCCATTGATCGTTTTTCTGACTTTTTTCAGAACTCTGTCTCATCTATCTTTTGTCTTTTTGACAGTGCTCTGGATAGAACTGAGTATTTTAGGCCAAAATCATAAAGAAAATTAGTTAATCTTATGCTGTTACAGCTCCTCATGCACAGTCCAAAATCCCATTGCTCTTTTGCCTTGCCATATCCTGTGCAAACTTGCATCTAGCTGCCAGGGCAAAAGAAAGAGTTTCCCATCATTCTCTTTTCCAATTCATGCTATTCTTCCACTGAAAAATTGTTTGGAATATTTGTATGCTATTTATCATAGCATATTTTCATAGAATCATAGAATCATTAGGGTTGGAAAGGACCTTAAGATCTTCAAGTTCCATCCCCCCTGCCGTGGGCAGGGACACCTTACGCTAAATCATATCACCCAAGGCCTCGTCCAACCTGGTCTTGAACACTGCCAGGGATGGAGCATTCACAGCCTCCCTGGGCAACCCATTCCAGTGCCTCAACACCCTAACAGGAAAGAATTTCCTTCTTATATCCAACCTAAACTTCCCCTGTTTAAGTTTTAACCCATTACCCCTTGTCCTGTCACTACAGTCTCTAATGAAGAGTCCCTCTCCAGCATCCCTATAGGCCCCCTTCAGATACTGGAAGGCTGCTATGAGCTCTCCACGCAGCCTTCTCTTTTCCAGACTGAACAGCCCCAACTTCCTCAGCCTGTCTTCATACGGGAGGTGCTCCAGTCCCCTGATCATCCTCGTGGCCCTCCTCTGGACTTGTTCCAACAGTTCCATGTCCTTTTTATGTTGAGGACACCAGAACTGCACGCAAGTGGGGTCTCACAAGAGCAGAGTAGAGGGGCAGGATCACCTCCTTCGACCTGCTGGTCACGCTCCTTTTGATGCAGCCCAGGATACGGTTGGCTTTCTGGACTGCGAGACCACACTGCTGGCTCATGTTCATTTTCTCATCAACCAACACCCCCAAGTCCTTCTCCACAGGGCTGCTCTGAATCTCTTCTCTGCCCAACCTGTAGCTGTGCCTGGGATTGCTCCGACCCAGGTGTAGGACCTTGCACTTGGCATGGTTAAACCTCATGAGGTTGGCATCAGCCCACCTCACAAGTGTGTCAAGCTCCCTCTGGCTGGCATTCCTTCCCTCCAGCGTATCAACCGAACCACACAGCTTGGTGTCATCGGCAAACTTGCTGAGGGCGCACTCAATCCCACTGTCCATGTCAGCAGTTAAACAAGATGTTAAACAAGACCGGTCCCAACACCGATCCCTGAGGGACACCACTCGTTACTGGTCTCCAGCCGGACATTGAGCCATTGACCACAATTCTTTGTGTGCGGCCATCCAGCCAGTTCTTTATCCACCAAGTGGTCCATCCATCAAATTGATGTCGCTCCAATTTAGAGACAAGGATGTCGTGTGGGACAGTGTCAAACGCTTTACACAAGTCCAGGTAGATGACATCAACTGCTCTACCCCTGTCCATCAGTTCTGTGGCCCCATCACAGAAGGCCACCAAATTGGTCAGGCAGGATTTCCCCTTAGTGAAGCCATGCTGGCTGTCACCAAGCACCTTGTTGATTTTCATGTGCCTTAGCATGCCATCCAGGAGAATCTGCTCCAAGATTTTGCCAGGCACAGAGGTGAGACTGACTGGTCTGTAATTCCCTGGATCATCCATTTTCCCCTTCTTGAAAATGGGGGTTATATTTCCCTTTTTCCAGTCATTGGGAACTTCCCCTGACTGCCACGATTTCTCAAATATGATGGCCAGCAGCTTCGCAACTTCATTTGCCAGCTCCTTCAGGACCGCGGATGGATCTCATCAGGACCCATGGACTTGTGCACGTTCAGATGTTTAAGATGGTCTCAAACCAGTTCCTCTCCTACAGTGGGCGCAAGGTCTTCATTCTCACAGTCCCTGCATCTGCCTTCTAAGACTTGGGTGGTTTGGTCAGAGCATTTGCCAGTGAAGACTGAGGTAAAGAAGTCATTCAGAACCTCAGCCTTCTCCAAATCCTGTGTAGCCAGTTCTCCCAAGAGCTTCCTGAGGGGGCCTAAGTTCTCCCTAGTCTGTACCTGTAGAATCCCTTTCTGTTATCTTTAATACCTCTAGCTAAGTTTAAT